ACCGGTTGAACGCCTTTGAGAAGTCCAGAGAAGCTACATCAACTCATGTGTCAGAATATACTTCTTCGGTCTGGATGGATCGCGCTAGCAACAGATTTGTAGTGCACACTCGATTTTGTCTGAAGCCATACTGTTCCGATGCAAGTCAGTTTAATTCTTCAAAGTAGGCCTTTAGCGCATCAGCAAGAATGGCTTACATGACGTTTGGAATTATCGGTAGTAGCGTTACTGGACGATACTTAGCTGGATCTGAACGACTACAACCCCGCGAAGAATTTTCCACAACATTTTATCCGAGGAATTGAACTACGTAGAGGTCTTCTATCAACCATGCCTCGTAGAGCTAGAGGTCGCTCTCCTAAATACCACTTCTCTTAATTGTCGCGGAAATAGCGGGCAAAAGGAAACAATATCCCACGTACTACAATCCGGCAAAATAACTAACAGAGCTTGCTTTATGCATCATAATGTTATAGCGCAAAAGTTGTCTCAGTCTTGCGGAAAAGAGGTGACTGCATTATCCCGGAACCACGGATTTTAATTCCCAGGTCTTTTCTTAAACTGAACATCATATTTCTTCAAGGTTCCATTGTAAATGTTCTGGTTATAGCAGTCTGCGACTTTGATCGCCTGGTACGTACATTCCAGGTTAAAACGGATAATTACGGGGCGGGCGCAATTTTTTCCGCTGTATGGCAATATATTCAGACTCAATTTCTAGAATCACAGGAGATCAATCGTCGGCCGATTATTATTAACAATAGTGCTTTAATACACCGGGCGTCCGCGAAAAATCTTCCTTCATTGGGGCTGACCATATTTGATAAATCCGGTATCTGTGATTTGAAAATTCGAATCTGCCTGAGTGTTTACGATACGTATATGCGTGGGTCTTACTCCAGCCTTAGTTAAACACAATCGTGGTCCAATTACCGTGACAAAGAAAAAGGTCCCGCCCTAAGCGTCCATTTTAAGTATGCTATTTGCTTCCTATTCCACCGAGACTTAGACCCATCTTGGTGTGTTGCTGTAATGCTTGGTTCTTGAGCCAAGCATGTCATGGCCATAAAGAAATGTTCATGGCTGGAATGGAACAACTACCTCCCATTGTGAACAGGAGTAATCATTCCGTGTTTCCACATGTGTGGGCACGTACATTTCGTCAAAAACAGTGTTGGAAGAATAGAGTCAAGGGCTTAGCTGAACTCTCTCTTACCGCCGCAAGTGACTTCGGGTGGATGGTATTGATTCCAGGAGATCTGTGATTAGGCATACGCGACAGTTCTTTTAGCACAGCTTCCGCTGTGAAGGATATGTGGAGGATATGTTTGCGGCAATTTAGCTGCCTTCTCCAACAAGTAAATCCGCCTCGTGACACCGTGTTTGACGGGTTTTCAAAAGATAGGCCTGTTTCTCATCATAAAACTAGGTTTACGTAAAAGATTTTGGGCTACAATATTTAGCTGAGAAACATAGATGTCCGACGCTCATACGAAAAGCGGTGGAGCGAGTAATTTTACATAACAGGAAAACTTATGCCTCTCAGTGCCACTTAAAGCGATAGCAATAGAGAATGTGACTCCGGGTGCAGGGAAAAAATCGGGGTCTACAAAAGCGTTCTTTGGTGTCAACGGCTGAGTGCATAGCTGATAACAGTAACCTTGTCATCTGCTATGAGTAGACGTGCCGACAATATTGCCGTCTAACGTGATGATATGCGAGGGGAGGTTATGTTTCGCCCTTTCTTCTTCAGTAAGCTACTTAGCTCACCAACGTTGTTCATCCTGTTTTTGTTGTGTTTCTCGTCCTGCCGAAGGAGTGTATTTTTCTGGAATCCATTTTAAATACAAATTTTTGGGGACAGAGTAGCACGCTAAAATCATTAAATTTTTATACATTGGTGATAATGCAAAATCGTTTCTTGTACTCAGCATTAATAGTGGAGTTAGCTGAATGTCTTGCACAAGTTTTTATTTGGCAGGGAGTCAGCACTTCCAAAAAATAAAGCAGGTTGGGATAAAAGATATCAGAGAGGTCCTGAAGATCATAGGAAAAGAAGCAAAACCCAAATTTTGAAACTGGAATATAGTTGAAATTAGATACCAGTTCAGATTTTGTGGCAAGTAAAAATGTACTGTTGCATTCACCTGTGAGGGAACAGCTTCTATTTTACAAGCAACGAACTTGTGCTCGGGTCCTGGGAGGCCAAATGACACCTCAGGGGTATTGGAAATAAGAGTTAAAGTGAAAAATAGACCAAGCAGCCTTTTTACACGTTGTCAGTAGGACATATGGTATCCATCCTCCAGAGATAGGAGAAGCTACTTGATTGGTAGTCAACTAGACCTACAGCTTTCAGGTAGGTTGAAGTCCCCACAGACGCCTTTATTTGATGGAGTAAGTGCCGATAGACGGATTATGCACATGCGTTGGTGCGACAGAGTTGCGGACACGGAAGTGTTGCCTCGAAGTGGAATGTATGCAGTGGACTGCATACCTTTGCTAAGACACCTTAAGTTGCTCGGTCATGTAAACTGTATGAATTCGACGCGGATACTGAGACAACTATTATATGGACAGCTGAGTAATGGGAAGCGGCATGTGGGGAAACCGAAGTTACGTTACCAGAACATGATCAAAATGAGTCTCTCACGTTCTAATCTTGATTGAAGATCATGGGAATCGAAGGCGATTGATCAACCTGCATGCGCGATCTAATCACGAAGTCAGTTGCCGAAGTGCTGGAGAAAAGCCTCATACATGCAGAGAAGAAGCGGCAAGTACGTGAGCGACAGGCGCCGATGGGTTGTACTCCATCGCCATCGAGCGCATGGTGCTGTAGCACATGCGGTCGCGAGTGCCTGAGTTAAATAGGCCATTCGGGGCCACCAGCGAAGCGACGACGGTACTGCATTGAACGTAGGCAGATCCGGCGCAGAGTTTGTAGATACATTGCATTCCATTTACTAACTGCATCCTTGCATGCTGAGCCTCTTTATTTCAGGTGGTGGGTTTGCTATATTGTCCTAATGCTCTTTTATCGCATATTAATGTTTACCTGAACTACCTTCTATAAACTTGAACATGTCGCTGAAGCTAATTGTAGTTGACGTCAATAACATTTTCGCGGTTGTAGCATTTTCTTAAGATATATTTTCTGACCTATTGAATCTTTCGCGGATGTTTTGCAACCAAGTTATTTCATACGCTCAGTTAGTGAAGAGTTATGTCACCGTATCAGGATGCATTATTGGATTTATTTTATGTGATATCGTCGTTTCAAGTGACTGGCTGTTGCTTGATATCGCTGGTGTGGCTACACTTGATGTGCATGTTGACAAGGTGCCTACATGTATATTACCCACTACCTCGTTCATACAGGCTCTAGGAGACAGTTGGTCGTTGCTGGAGGGGACGGGGTGCACGGTCCTTGTGGCCGTGTTAGGCTCGAAGAGTGGTTCCATGCACTCAGTGTGGAGCGGACTATGGTCCAGCCACCACCTTGTGTGCGCTTGATTCCCAAATACAGTGTGCTTGTGTTTTCCTATGAAGGAGTGTGGGCTGGCTCCTTTGATGAAACTTGGCGCTCAGTCACAGCCACCCGGTCTTATTTTTTCGGGTTTACACTGGATATGTGGTGTATGGATGGAGCTGTGGGTGGTGCAGCGCAAGCCACCCATGGTCCCTCTGCAGGCGCAGGCGTGCTGTGGCTGGCCACAGTGACAGGCAAATCCGAAACCGGATGCCGCCAACCAAGTGCCGATATGCAGTTAGAAATCTTTGCTAAGTGCATATCCTCACACTATTTATCTCCAGCTGTGCGGTATTTGCGAAACGCAATTGATCGGTTGTTCCTGAACGCTAACACTCGCCAAGCGAAACAAAACAGGGGAAGATTAGCATAAGTGTGTATGTAGAAACAAAAAGTTTGTGGGTAGAAATAATGTAAACAGTACCTCTATCTATACTTTGAGCACTTCTGAACAGTTTATACCCAACAAACAGAATCATTGGATTTGATACATCTATTCTGCAGCAAATACTCGTATGCTGTGTGGTGTTTCAAAAGGATTGGCATATTTAGAATTAAGTGCAGAGGAAGACTAACTCATAGTAAGGTGACGCCAAAAGAGTTTTTTAACATTGATTTAAATCGATTAGAACGTTTATTCTCTTGATTGATTCATGTTTGAAAACCTGTATCTTCAGCTTCCATTGGACGGGCCATACTCATATCTAGCTATTTTAAATGCACGAATGCATCAATGAAATTCATTTATTATTCGCAAACGGAAACTAAAAGTTTTCCTCTTTTGTCAGTTAGTGCATTGTTCATGTGCATGAAAAATTTCTAAAGTTGGAAGTGAATGTTGCACCACGAAGACCATTTGACCGCACAGTTTGTCACCGATTACCTAGTGAGCGTTGTGAGCGAAGTTGTTTACAGGTTAAGCAGATGGCTATTGTGTGTTGCCCGTTTACAGGTTTACATGTTCAATGATACTTAGAGCATTGTGGTGTCACTGTCCACGTCCTGAAGCGGTTTAGTGGTCTCATACTAAGGTGCCACAGTTTATATCGAATGCAGAATGCTATTCGGAAAGTTTCAGGCAGTCTGTATAAAATTTTGTGTCTTCAGAAAGCTGTAAAGCTGTTAGTTTGCAGGACACATTTCCTTTTTTAGATTAAACCTGACATTTAGAAGAAACTAACATCGAAACTTTTGTGTTACGAATCTGATGTTATGCGGCATTGACAGCAGTATTAGTCAGAACTACCATGAAGAAAATCACAATCTTATCATAAATCAAGTCAAGTGAGGGGAGTCGGATTACGATCTGCATTTCGCTTCTGGTCAGACTTGAAACAGATACACAGTAACAGGTCAGAATGAATTGTACACTGCAAACATTTCTTCACATAAACTGGCTAAACGACTGTATATTAAGGAACCTAAACGCTTATTTAGCAGAAAAGTTACCATATGCTCATCAACCAACCTCAATATTTTCCTTGTCATCTTTGAACCAGGTGTATTGTGGTGTGGGAAAACCTCCATATATACACTTTAACTGAAGTGTATCACCGGCGATTGCTACCTCTGTCCTTGGCGTCCGGTACAATGATCTCAGCGCATAGTTTGTCTATAATTTGTCAGAAATTGGTGTCATTGACTAAGCACGTATAGAGAAACAATAACTCATTTAAGTACCCTAAGAAGTCATGTATGAACCCACTTTCACTTTAGCTGTAAACTAACAAAACTTATGGCAGATACTCTAACTTGAGTGATGGGCACGGAAAAAGGTCATGAGAAAAAGTTAGGACGTTCACGAGAAGTGGTGTGTTTCAAGGGAGAATTTGATCGTACACAGTACCTAATAAAAATGTCCACTTTAACCGTTAGCGCGATGCCTTGAATGCATTTTTCACTAACATTCGTCACCTTTTACGCGGTAATAATAAAGGACCCGGTTAAAATCCTTGCATGAGCAACAAAGGGAATACTTTATCTCTGTGAATATCAGATTAGTGACGTAATACACAGCAGGCTTTTTACTGTCACTTCTACTCGAAAGTGCCAAACTTGAAGCCTTACCTGCAAGTGAAGGAAAAAATTAACCGTACATCTCCCATTTTCTGCACACATTCGTACTTCTCCTCTACTATGCCAACCCGACGGTCTGCACCTTTAAGTACACTCTGAAATGTGAAGCTCATCATCATTACACGTTAGCTGGAGGTGGAAAACACCTCAGCTACTGTGCCGCAATACAAAAGACAAGAAAAAGAAAACAAGCAATGGCACGCCCGCTGAGACCCCAGTAACGGATGGACATCGTTCCGGAGAGCTAACAGCTGGCTGCCGTAAAAGAGAGTCATATTATGCCTAACAAGTGAGATAGTGATTGGAGGGGATGCTAAGCAGGAGGGGGATGGACGAAGGAACTCACAACACAAACACCATTGGGGCCGGCTCCAAGCCATATCAGCAAGTGTGTCCAACCAAACGTGTTCACCGTCCTTAGGACCCCAGCCAAGCAGTCGGAATGCACCAACCGACGCCAACTTCGAAGTGAGAGTTTTCATTTCTCTCGACCAAGTCATCACTGGGCCTCCCCTCCTCTTCTTCCAACCGCACCCACAACGCGCAAACAATGCACGTCGCGGGAGTCAGCGTGCTAGCATGCGCAACACGTGGCCCAGCCATCGGAGCCTGGTGCGTGATATAATGGTGCTGAGCGGTACACTCGCTCTTCCTGCACCAAATACGCGACGTCGAACACGCTCATTGCTCACGCGGTGCACCCACCAGACATGAGCTAAGCTGCGAAGGCAGCGAGAAATGTGAAGCTAAACGAATCGTTATATACTCTCCTCACATTATCTTTGATTTTTCACCTACTAGACGTTGTCAACCTAACAATCCCACTTACAGGTGCTTAGAAGAAGTGTAAGCGATGTACATCCTATTTCTTACTCATTCTGCAACGCGTTGGACATTTTGCCTGGCCATGCCCATTTGACAATCCGCGCCCTCAAGTGCATTCTTAAAGCAGAAGGCAACCGGAACAATTTATCTCACTCCTGTCAACCTTATCTTGTCCGTTACACGGCTATCTAAAACATAAATCTTCACCTACAAGCGAATGCTTGAAGAAAAGCCACTGCGCCTACCTATCCTCAGCCATGTCGTAACACAACATTTCTTGCTCGATCCGGTTAAGTTGACATTCAGTTTAGAGTCTTTAGGCGCCTCCCTGTTCTATAACTTCCTCCTCTGTTCACACTCCATCCTAGTTTTGAGCCAACGCAGCTGAAGGTTTGAAGACGCATAAAGAGCCACAGAGAAATTAAATGAAGATTTCTTTTTGTTTATCATCCGGGTACAATTTCTTGAAACTTAGGATTTTTGCAACTCACAAATAATTTGCCCCCTGAAACGGTACTTTATTGTGCTGGTCTGTATACGTAAAGGTGTATTACCCGTCCGATTTTCCTCGACGGCTCCACTTGTTCCGCCCCCTTTCATGAACCCATTGTCATCATGGTTCTACCAATTTGCACCGAAACCAGCGGTTGAATACGCTCTTGAACTGGTTGAAAACGACATCGAAAGCCCCGAAGGATGGTATCCACAAACGCTGCCCTATTGAATTCATACATAAACCCAACCACTGACATCCCTGCAAGCGTAAGCATGTTGTACGTATACATCCGATCCATTCCTTTGTATGCACGGGTTCTGAGTACCACGGGGAATATATAGTTTAAACTGTTTCATTCCATTAGTGGGTTAATGAAGGCATACCAAGCACCAGAAATGGCACGATACAACAAGCCTAGACTTTGGATATCGGGCTCGTATCGATATGGAAGCAATAGATGTGCCCGGTCAATAGCTGGTCGAACTGTGAAAGATACACGAGTTCTGTCAGTTCGGGTACAATAACTCGGAAATCTTCGTTTCTCTAATTCCCTAGTCATTTGATCGCCACCTGGTGTGTGTGTATCTGGGATGCTGCTGTTGAAACCGGTTTGCGGATATGCCTAGGGCGTTTACTTGGATACAACACGACTAGGACATGACTAGTCAATCTGCAGAAAAAAGTTTAGCGAAGCAGACAGAGCCGCATGAATAGATTTAAACAGATAACTAGAGATAACAAGGTCTCTATATTCATTGACTAAGATTTGACCATTTGCAGCCCAATCAGTAGTGGGAGAAGCATTTCATTTGCAGTGGAACTAGGTCAGTGGCATAAAAGTGGAAAGGAATTGCAGCCAACCAGCTGGACAGGTCCGCTATTACTAGAGGTGGCAGAATAGCAACTAGATGAGAAGAAAGTGTAACAAAAATTCCCTAATGTTTCCTTGCAGGTTAGAACGGAGTGGACAGGTGGGGTGCCCTGACTATTGCCACTACTATATGTTCGTTTAAGGAAGCAGTAGTACTCCAATTGGACGCGTGCACACAACCGGAGAAAGCGTTGGAGTACATACTTGTTGACCGTAGACTTTAATTTTGTATGACGGTCCGTTTTTCTGATGCCGGAGGACTTCATTGTTTGCCACGCAAGTGTACAACGTATCATGGTCTTCTTCAATCACTGCAGCGATATACAGGAAACCTAAACGATGAAGGAAATAAGTGCATGTTGCTGAACACTACCTAGTTACTGCCGATAGAAAACCTTGTTTAAGTCACAAACTGATCTTAAGCATAACCTAGTATATTTGAAAGACTAGTGATCCTCACGGCGGTTGAGATGTCTTGATCACACATTCGATTGCGCCACTGCCAGCTTTGGGATTGGTAACACATTAATAAGGGGGTTGCGCTACGGAAATATAAGTGTCATGGTTGAGAATAAAAATACTACTCCGTAGTCAAAACTCCTGAGTTAGCTTTGTTGGTTGTGCTAATAATTACAGTTGAGCTATCTATGTTCTGTTTATAGAAAACATATTTCCACCTTCCGAGAAGAACTGGGATAAGCTATCTCCACAACAGGCTAATAACGAACTAATTTTAGTGTTTTCGTCCTAGCAGCGCACTAGCTAAATAGCTAAGCCACAAGCGGGAAAAGCGTCAGAGGAGTTTTGCCCTAATGGGGCTCGTCAGTGGTGCGAATTCCCTCGGTCCCCTACTGGGGATCGAAGCCATGACAGATATAGGCTGACGCCAACTAGCCAGCAGCTTACGCCATTAAGCCATGGGAGATGTCAGGTGGAGTACATAATTTGCAAGCTAACTGGGATATAGAACTGGCTACCTTCCACTGCTACGTAGGTTACTACCCTTGCAGATGACAGTGGCTAGCCACCAGTCCATTGCTTCCTCTCACTAGACGCTATACCATAGCAGTTGAAAGTGGAAAAGGCTACAGTTATATTAAGCTGGGTATTAGGATCCTATTTGTTATTTTACTATCTTAAGCCTCTGGATAGTTGGCCTCAGCCCCTAGCCGTCATGAGCTCAACCTCCAGTAGGGGACCGAGGGAATGCGCAGCACTAACGGGCGAAACGCTTCTGGCGTTTTTCCAGATGGTGACTGAACTGTGTGGCATGTGAGCTACTGGGACGAAAACACTAAAAGTACAATTAAAATCCTCCTACTTATAAGTAATATCGAACTAATTTGTAAAGAATATTGTTGTATTCGGGAAGCTAAATTCATCATAGTAAAAGGTGTGTTACCAGTTCTAAGAAAGACTATGACTAAAATCTGGCTTACAAATTAGGGGATCGACTTTACCAACTTAACAGATAGAAGTTCTCTGGAGAAAGCTGACGTCTGTATGCTAGAAGTCTAGATGGAGCAGTTCTGTGCCACACGCTAAGCGACATGCCTAATTATATCCCATAAGTTACAAAAGCTAAGCCTGGGAAATATGTCCCTGATCAACTTTTAACCTGGTAGATTAAAGGAGATGGCGAAATGAGTATCTACATTCTGCAGCATGTAAGATCTATACGAGGTAGAAGAAGCCCAAACGGCGAAGAACAAACTAAGCGTCAGTATAATCCCATCGACTGAATGCTTTTGAGGCAAAACCAGTCTAAACAAACATAAAAAACTGTGTACACATTGCACATGTCCACACAACTAACTGGGTGGCATTCGTCCCGCAGCATGATTCCACAGTTCTTGTGGTGTTCATTGTCAGCTGATGAACAAACCTTCGCCTGAGAGTAACTTACTTAGCATTGATAACGTACCCAGTAGGAACACATACTCTTCAAACAAAGTGAGCCACCTACTTTACAAGTACTATACGAATCAGAGTAAAGATTTCTGTGATTTACTCAGACATGTCGCCACACTAATGACGCTCCCCAAGGCGTCCTCATCAACACCCACTCCTGAATGAACATTACTTTTGGATTTGAAACTAATTTCGGCCAATAAGGTACAAGCAGTGCGCCTTCGGTAGAGATAGGAAAGTTTTATAGAATACAGAGGTACATCACAGAGTAAAAATGCCGTATTCTAAGCAGTAGTGAAAGAGTTTAGTTTGTTAACTCTTTCCATCCATCTCTACGAATCTAGCCAACCCCCTCCCTCGATGGTTGGCATATTCTGTTAATTCCCAAAATTTCACCTCGAGTGAGCGGCAGAATGTCACTAGTCTAGTAATACGTACATCTCAAAGGTGTTCAAGGTGTATTACGGGGTCCATGGTCGTGAAGAGAATGTGCTTTAATGTAAATGGAGCAACTTACCGTTAATGTCTGTGGCCCTGCGATTTGTTTCTTTGAGATACTGAATTTGGGAGTTTTTCTCCATGATCCAAGTTACTACTGGTGGCGGATAGCCCAAAGGCACACTGCAAGGTAGCGTTACAGGCTCACCATGCTGAACGGCAATCTCTTTCGTCCTGACGGCTTCGAAATCCCCCATCTCTGAAATCACATAGCAATCAAAGCTGTAGTATGTGAACTAGCTAAAATTAACCGTTGCTTTAGAGTGAAATCGTCTCATTTACCAGCGGGTAGCCGTTGCAAAAGTGAAATTAAAAGTAGTTGGTTTTAAATGTAAACGGCAGCAATAAAAAGTCACGGATAAGTCATATCCAATCTCTCGCACTAATTACAACGATGGCTTATCTAATATGGACTAATTATGGAACTATCTAGATTGCTGGGTGAATTAAACACATTGCATGAAAGACCCTATTAAGCATAAGTAACAAAAGTCACTAATCTTTGATTATATATAATAATTCCAAACGGCTAAACAGTAACGTTACAGGTTAATGCTTAGGAAACCTTTAAACTTGCAATTTGTTTATCCAGGGAGAATAAAAGCCATACTCGGCAAAATAAGCGCGTGTCCAGTGAGTGCATTTTGTTTGGAGTACTGTAGCAGTCTAGAGATTCCCCAGTTTGCCTGTGTGAAATTCCAACTAAAAGCCTTTCATTGTACCCCTAGGTGACCGGTGTGGGTTGTTGGACTGATTGTTGAGTTCGAATGCTTGACTTGATCGTCGCCATTTTTGCTTGGCGCTCGTTTCGGTTGTAACGTGCAAATGCCCTGTGTGCTGTATATTCTCCGTTACCCTAGCTGGAGCGTCAACGGTGTAGTATTTTTTATAGCTAAGCAACAGGGAATCTTTTACTGTACCAATAAAACTTTCGCTGCAACCCGTTGTGACTTCTGAACCGCCCTCCGGGCTCCCACTAAAGTCTACTCGCTAAATTGGTGGCCCCGACTGCTGAAGAAATTCAAAGACGGATATACCAAATTTTGCTCCAGTGTGTTCGTTCCATTTTTTTCCTATTTTCCGGTTACTTTTTGCATACGGCAGCATGTTTGTTGAGTCCATTTTTCAAACCATGAAAACTCTAGACCATAAAGTAGAGTCTCACAGAAGCGTTGTACCTCTATCTGTGCCACCTTTGTGGGACATGGCTCCTCTTTTGTGTTTAGCTAACCTTGAGGCAGAGTTTTATAACCATGGAATTACTTCCGACTACGCGAAGTTCAGCAAGCTCATGTCCTATCTCCCCAAGGACATATCCATGTAGGTCAGAGACGTTATCATTTCTCAGACCTAAATCCCCTATGAGGCCATCAAGGAGACCACTATTAAGCGCGTCATTCCTTCTGAGAAAGTCCACCTGCCTCAGGTTTTCAAGGATCTGAATTTGGGTGACATACTGTCCTCAATCTTACTACGATAGATGCAGCGACTCCTTGGTTCATCAACCATGAATGAGACTTTACTTCCCGAAATGTAGCTACAGAGGCTACCGGAAAACACTCAAGCGATTCTAGCAATCGTGAGCTCTGTTTCGCTTACCCAACTAGCCGCTTTAGCAGATCTCGTCATCGAGCGATCACAGCCACTAGCCGACGCCAGCAAGGTCAACTCCGTTGCGTTCCAGAGCACTTCTATTATTGGCTTACCGTCGACCATAGAAGCTCTGCAAACACAGGTTGCAACATTCAGTCGCCAAGTCCAACAGTACACAATGAGCTGTCGTCACCACAGTCTATCAAAGTCGCCCTCAAAACGCTCCAAGTCCAGCAGCAAACAAACTCACTGTTGTATCATCAACTCTTTGCTACCGCCGCACATAAGTGCATAAAGCCTTGCATCTTCGCCGAGAAGTAGAGAAACTTCTCGGCGACGGACGCGACCGACCAACATCAAACTCGCCTCATCCGCATTAAGGATTTAGCTTCTGGTACCGAGTTCCTAGTCGACACTGGAGTCGAAGTTAGCATTATACCCCTTAGCTCAGATGAGATCGTCTCACCCTCGCCGACTAAGCTGCATGTCGCCAATGGCACACCAATCGCAAGTTTCGGCGAAGGGCTGCTAACGTTCAATTTAGGCCTCCGTCGAACTTTCCGCTTGCCTTTCACAGTAGCAGCCGTAACTTTCATCATTATAGGCATAGACTTTCTTTAACAGTTCGGCGTTATCGTCGATTGTAAAATGAAGAAGGTTATCAGCTTTAGGACCCAGCTCAGTGTTTTCGGGACTAGAGCCAACGTGGCCGCTGTCACTCTCATTCATGTTTTAGCTCAAGGTTCACAGTATTTCATAGACATTTTCAACAACCATCCTAAACTCCTTCGCGTTCCGAACGACTTGCCACTTGTGACGTCAAGCGTCATGCATCACATTTGCACTAAGGGTCCACCTGTTTCGGCCAGCCCTCGCAGACTAGCCACGGACAAGCTCAAAGCCGATAAGGCGCAATTCGAGCAAATTCTCTAAATGGGAATAATCCGCCCGTCCAAAAGTCCATAGGCATCTCCATTACAAATGGTGCCGAAGAAATCCGGTGACTGGCGCCCCTGTGGTGACTACAGGGCACTTAACAAAGTTACCTACCCGGATAAATACCCCATTCCGTACATGCAAGACTTAACCTCAGCTCTAGCTGGTTAGTCGATTTTTAGCAAGATCGACCTAGTTCGCGCCTACCACCAAATACCTGTGGCGCCAGACGACATTGCTAAAACAGCAGCCGTTTGGCCTAGTTGAGTACCTCAGAATGCCTTTCGGCCTTAACAACGCTGCTCAAACTTTTCAAGGTTTCGTTCATGAGGTGACGCGAGGATTCGAAGGTGTTTCTCCCTACCTAGATGACATTCCCATCGCCAGCTCTTCTGACGATGAACATCTTCATCACCTCAACGCTCTCTTGCAACGCTTGACGCAAGATGGGGTTACTGTAAACCCCGACAATTGCGAACTTGGCCAAAGCTCTGTTGACTCTCTTGGGTACAGAATATTCGCCACTGGCATTGAAGCTCTGCCAGACAAAATTCAAGCACCGAAGGATTATCCTGCTCCTAATTCCTTCAAACAGTTACGCCGATTCCTTGGCCTGGTCAAGTACTCCCGACGTTTTATTCCCAAATGCGCGAGCATAATGCAACCAATGACTGACTAGCTCCGACGTAACCAACGGTCTTTTCATTTTCCAGACGACGCTGGACTGTCTTTCGGGAAGCTCAAAGACGCTATCTTTAACCTAGCACTTCTCGCCCAACCAGAGCCATCAGCGCCACTCTCCTTGACAACTGATGCAACAGACACTGCAGTCGGTGCAGTTCTTCAACAACTCATTGACCATTTGACAGTTGGACGAGAAAGCTGAGAGCCGACGCTCGCGCGTTTACCACCAAGGGTGCTTGGGAAGGACTCTACGAGCGTGTTACCAGGGCCCAGCCGAAATCTGATCAGACACCAGGCGTGTTGCCAAGGCCAGACCGGAAGCTGATGAAATCACGCGTCAGACACCACGCGCGTTGCCATGCGCCGGGTAGGCGAACGAAGACTGTAGCACCCGAGCAACACGGTGAATCGGACAGATGCAGCAGACAAGTAGGTGTGCAGCGTGGGCTTAGAGCCAAATCCGCCTGGTGATAGTGACATATAAATATGACCGTTCTTTGCCTTAATACAACTCTGGTCTGCTGAGTAGTCTTCTGACTTCGTTCCGGTCGGGTTTGCCAAGGTGTGAATCAACCAGGCGAGAGCGAGTAGGCAGCGCAGCGTTATAACACCATTGACGGTAACACTAAATTTCTTCTCGAAACGTTCACAACCTGCCGAATCGCGTTACAACACCCTCGGTAGGGGGGCACTCGCAATCAACCTAGGTATCAGACCTTTCCGTCATTATCTTGAAGGCTGTCACTTTACCGTCTTCACTGACGATAAGCCATTGATCTATGCAATCGATGACGCAACAGACAAGTATTCTCCGCAAGAAACTCGACACCTAAACTACGTTTCTCAGTTCACGATAGACGTACGACATGTCTCAGGTGCTCTCAATCCCATCGCGAATGCTCTTTTACGCATTCATCAGATCAGCTTATCGCCTGGTACCAAAATCGACCTAGTCGCCATGGCTGCTGCCCAAGTAGCTGATCCCGACAGAGATAAGCTACGACACAACTCCTCTTTGAAACTATTCAAAGTGCCACTAGCTTCATCTGAGGGGACTATATTTTGCAACGTCCCACAAACTTCTCCCCGCCCCGTAGTTCCTACGACAATGCGCCGACTAGTCTTCAAAGCTTTACACAAGCTGGCTCATCCCAGCATACGTGCTTCGCAGAAGCTCGTAACCAAACGCTTCGTATGTCCTAACGTCAATCACAATGTCCACATTTGGGCACGTGCACGCTTAGACAAGGTTTAGACACACCAAAAGCCCACTCGGCGTCTTCCCTACTCCTAACTCTCATTTTGCACACGTCCATGTCAACCTGGTCGGACGTTTGCCATCATGCAAAGGCTACGAGTACACCCTCAACTGCGTCGACCAATTCACCAGTTGGCAAAAAGCGATTCCGATAGCCAACTGATCATCTGAGACAGTTGCACAAGTCTTCCTTGAACGCTGGGTAGATCATTTCGGTGGCCAAAACGTAGTCATCACCGATAGAGAATCACACTTTGACCGATCCTTCAGCAAACTTCGTAACGTTCTTGGTTGCAAATACAACCAAACCGCTGCATACCACTTCGCAGCTAATGGTTTAGTAGAAAGGTTCCACCGACAACTCAAAGTGTCACTCTGTGCCCAATCTAGCACATCCTGGCACGAAGCATTTCCACTCGTTCTCAGGCATAATAAACAGGATTAAAGCGGATTTACATGTCACTCATTCTTCATTAGGCTTTGGCTGCATAACCACGCTTGCCTGGTGAATTTGTGTCATTAAAAGCGCCAACAACCTTCGAATCTGGCGACTAAGTAGCTCACCTATCTCATCACATGCGACAGCTTCAGCCTATGCAACCCAGAGCACAGGGTTTGCGTACAAACGTAGACGAACACCTTGCTACTTGTACTCACGTGTTCGTTCGCACTGAGAGCGTACGCCGGCCACTTCAACCTCCTTATTCTGGCCCGCATCGTATCGTA